ATTATTGCCACTTCTGCATGATGTGTATAACATCTTTGACTGAGGTGTGAAAGCTTACATGTCCACAGGGCTGATTTGACAACATTAACATGGCAAAATTGAAATATGTTGCTTAATAGGAAGAAAATATATTTCCCGTCTTGGTTGCTGGCTTCCATGCAAAAGGACCACATAACCCCTTCTATGCAAAGATCTAGAATCAAATTTACCATTATTGATGCCCTTAAAAACTGGTCCAACTTTTCAGTATCTCCCTTTTCAGTATTTCCTGTGAGGAAAAGCGGGACACGGCAAGTAAGGATGGCAATCCTCACTTCACGGACTTGCATCTCAATCCTAAATATGTCCTATCAGCTTCAACAGAAGTTATCTCCAAGTGAATTTGCTTAAGAGGGGCTATTAAGGGTAGTTATATTCATTATATATAAGCAATATAAATATACACATAGTATTTATTTGCAAATCCCATAGTAGGATGTATAACAACAGCACCAGATATGAGGCTAACTTAGCTTTTCCCAACCTGATTCCTTCCAAATGTGTTGTACATCAGATCCTATCACTTCTTGTCAACTCAGAGCCCATCTACATGAGGCAGGGTGGCTACTCAACGCAGTCTTTTCCTGCATTTAGAAAAAGTCTATGGCACTTTGTGGTGGTGTGAACAGTTGGTCTGGTTTCTATTTGGAACTGTCCATCCTGCTTAGAGGATGGCACTTACCTTCTCCCTCTTATCCTCATCTTAGTGGTGATCAACAGGTGCAAAATTGCTGATGGTTTTTGCTTGTCACATCCACTAATGCTAAACAGAACAATTGGTGGAGGGGGAAAAGGAGGGCATGATTCCTTCTTCCTCCTCAACCCTCTCCTGTATGGCTCTGTAGCTTGAGCCAATATCAGCAGATGCAATGAATGATAAGCTCCTGGCAATCACTGCTAAACCAATGTCATTGTTAAGCCAAGAGGGGGAAGGTAAGACTGGTTGTCCAGTGGTGCTGAACCAGGCTTGACACCACTGGCCCATGTGCCACCATCCAGCCACCATCAGCAGCTGACCATGCAGATTCCTGTGGTACTGATCTGGAGTATCTCACTCTGGATCAGCACCAATGTATGTGGCCCATCTACATAGTCATATGGGCTGGCTGAAGCTGTAATCTAATACATCAAAACAGAATGAAGCTTAGTGCTAGGCCAATAGGGCTGCTGCTTACACTTCAGGAAGGAGTATTTCACATCTGGAGCAAGCATGAGGAGGTTATTGGGGGCAATTTCATTCTGTTTTATGCTAACTGCACTTAGTCATTCATCCTGAACTAGAATAAACTCAAGTTTAAATTATATTTTAGGATCAGAAACCTTGTTTTAGAAAACCATAGTTTAACCTATTTGCAGTTTGTCATTCTTGGAAAAAACAGTAAATCAGAGTTAATTTAAAATGGCAAGCTCCTGCCTCCCCAAGACTCTTCTAAAGAAAGAGTGCGGGAGGGAGTTCCCTGTTGCTTATGCATTTAAAGTAGGTCTTAGTGTTACATTTATATCACCCATTGTGTAACTGGATTTATATTAGATATTTTCTGTCTTATAAGCAATCATTTTAGTTGCTCCAAAATTAATTTACAGCACAGTCTTTTTTAATGGAAGTAAATCCTGGTCAGTTCAATGGGGCATACTTCCAGGTGTGTGTGTGTGTGTGAATGAGATGAAAACTTATATACACACCTGGGAGTAAGCCGCTAACATTGTTAACAAAACAACTTATAGATGAGAAGATCATTTAGAAGAGTATTGATGGTGTGAATATGCCTCCAAGTTGTAAGTGAGAATAGAATACTACAGCTGGAGCATTTTTTGTTTTTGTCTAGCAACAAAAATAATTTGAAAAAAAAATCTGCTATAACAAAGAAAGAACACCTTGATTTAACCATCTGAAGGCATTATGCATAAAAATGGAAAGAGCACCACATAAAAAAAATTCACAGTGGAAAGCATAGACCATAACAGATAATAGTAGCAGGAATAAGTACATTTACCCAAGGTGTTGCTGAGTGCAAGTTTTCATCTGTGCAGCTATCAGTGCAAAGAAAGTGTGAGGCTCAATATCTTTATGTCAATTAAAACTTGCCTCTACTATCAACCTTTGCTTTTTTAAAAATGTGTCTTGCTAACTAGCAAAAAAGCAAAGGCTAAAACATACTTCATACTTTTTTAAAGTGAGATTTCTCACTGAATTCAAGTAGGAATTACAGACATTTATGTAATATTTATAAATCTGACTTAGATTGCAAAGGTACTCTTTCTATATATATTATATGATGAACTAGAAAACATACAAAATTCTATTTAACATCTAATACACATTCATTTACTGTCTTAAATTGAACAGTATGAATTTTCAGGAACATATCACCAATTCTACTAATGTTTTTCTTCACTTGTGAAAAATATTTAACAAAAGGGAGAAGAACTGAGCAATGCTGGTAGCAATCCTCTGCTGCTTCCCCTTTTTTGTCTTCCTCCAACCAATTTATGTAGCAGTAAATGCACTAGTGTTTTTATCTATTTAATGTTACAATGTGAATACTGTCTCAATAATAGTAATATTTTTGTTTAAAGTCCAAAGCCGCCAGAATCCATGGGATGGCGTGTGTTGCTGAGGTGGTTGTTTTGCAACATTTAAATGCTGGCATAGGAGAATTAATTTACTTAAAGGAGAACTTTGGATATGTGAAACTAATTAGTATTTGATGGTTTGTATTTTGGAGAACAAATGCTCATCTAAATTTTGTTCTATGACTACCATTTAGTTGAGTTTTTTAAAAGGTGGTCCCCTCAAGTGTGAAGAAAGTGCAGTCTATGGATGCATACAGTCCCAATCTCTTTCTGGGACACCCATCTTCTTAAAAATAGATGGTGGGTTATTTTTTCTTGGCTTCACAATGACCTTTAGCACCCAGTAACAGATTCTGGGGTTGCTACTGGCCATTTTAACTTCCTGAACTTTTAAAAGTAATTTTTCAAAGCAAAAAGTGATCATCTAGTCACTTCCCAATTGAAAACAAGGTTTCTTTGGCCCTGAAACAGGCAAAGCGGGTGCGAATAGACTGTCAAAGGCAATGGAATAGGCAGCAGCAAACCTAGAGCTTTTTGGACTGCCATTGGCCACTGGATAGTACCCAAACACAAGACATGCCATTTTTGGATGGTGAGACAGGACATGGGGGATGTGGCTCTCCATAGTTCCACAGAGCCGCAACACAACCCCAGTCTTAGGATATTACCCACCCTTTTCAGAAAGTCTGTAGGCTAAAACTGCCTCTTTGAAACTAGTTGGATAGAAATACTAAAGAACACTATGCTTCACCTGAACAAGGAGATACAGAAATTGCCAACTTGAACTACATATTGGGGGGAGGGGACTTCCCACAAGGAAATCTGTATGGATTTTATGGAGGGGATACATTTGTAATGTACTTTTCCTAGGCTACACATTCAGTATGCATTTCCCCTTTTAAAAACAGAATTATGATCACATATGAATCATGTGGCTTATATGCCAATGGGTTTATAGATTTAGATGTATGGATTTTTTGGAACAAAATGGACTTAATATTAAAATGAGGTACAAAATGAGTAATTTTGATAAGCAACCCAAAACTGCCACAAAATATTTTTCATCCCTACTGGGGTTCTTCTGATTCAACACATGCCATTAGCTGTGAAGCTATAAAATGCCGCATTAGAGTGTTTATGAGAGAATGAAGAATGTACATTAGGTATGAGCCTATGCAGACTTGAATGGCAAGCCTTACTCACTCTGAAGTTATAGATTTCATTACCTTCATTTTTAATCATGAGAGAATGTATATTTTAAATAATGGGCAATATGAAATGCATTGAATGCTCTAAAAAGATTCCATAAATAACCTATCCATGGTAATTAGATACCATGTCCCAGTGAAGTGTTCAGAGGTAGTCAATGTCCAAATGCTAGGCATAGGCAGAGATATAGAAGGGACAAGGAACTGTTATAACTATGTTGAATTGCCTTGGCACTGCATCTACAGTATGTAGAACCGGATTGAACATAAAGGCAACAAAGCACTTCTGTTTGCTTGGTTTTTTTTTTTAAATCGTAATATGGACATTTGTGTGTCAATGTCTGTTGTAATGATATTCTCAGAGGCTGTCTTGAATGGGGTAAAAAAGCCTTGACATGAATACTGTACTTGCAGAAAACTACAACTTGAAATTAATTTGTATCATCCATGTGGAGCCAAAATCTTGCATGAATTCAGGATTTCTATATTACACTGTGCTATGAACACTTTACATGGCTGAATTTATCTCTCTGACTTACTACTAGAAATCACATTCCAGCAAACTGAGTTATTAAACCTCACAACCAATAAGGATGCCTGCCATAGATGCAGGCAAAACGTCAGGAGAAAATGCTTCTAGAACATGGCCATACTGCCCGAAAAACCTTCAACAACCCAGTGATTCCAGCCATGAAAGCCTTCAACAATACATTGAATTATTAAATCGACAGCTGCAGTTGTTCCAAATTAAGTGAAACCTTCATCCTAGAGTAGGCTAAATATCAAATATATACCAACGAGATGAGGGAAAATATGTTCTGTTTCCAAAATAGGACAGCAAACATCTTCATCCTACCTTTCACCAACGTATCTCACATACCCAAAAACTGTATTATGCTTTTTTTCTGAGGCAGTGAAAAGATTACCTTCTTATTCTTTTATCTACATAGCTATAATTTGTGTGCCCAAGAATTTATGCACAGTAAAGCACACTAACACAAACATTTTAAATTTAGGGTGCCAAATCCAACAATCAGTGTAAATCTAAGTAAGTCTTGAATTAAAAGCATATGGCTCATTATGTTACGTATATATCTGATATTGATATGTATGGGCTTTTTTTACCTAAGAAAAGCAGAGAAAGCCTGGGTTAGTATGAAAAATGGTCAGTGAATATGATTTTACTCAGTTGTGTAAAGATGTAGCCATTGAAAGGCTGTGTCTAAAGGACAGGAATCTTACCCATGCGACATAGTTGTCTGATGTGTTTTTGGCAGACCCCATGTGCAAATAAATACTCACTATAGTTTCCCTTCACTTGTATTTTGCATCTCACAAAAGTTGAGCCTGAAGAAAGACCAGTTTACAAAGCAATAATAAATAATAAGGCTCCAAAAGGAAGGACTTCCTTTGTGCCTTCTAGTTAATGATAGCTTACAGATTGTAGACTAGGTTGGTCTAGGACACATTTTCAAGTACGTTGTTTGTTATCAGTATGACAGTAGCACCTTATTGCACATTGTTTTAGAAAGATTCACCATTATGTATATGGAAACCGATTATGTCCAGGGCACTTCACTGACCTGAACCCTGGCAAAATTACTTTTCCTTTTCGGTACAGATCATCCTGGAAACCTTTGTTCATCCTCTGCACCAACAGTTTTTCATAAAGCAGTGGGTGGTAGGCCCCCAAGGTACATGCTGCATCATAGTAGAGTTCATGGTAGTGGCAAAGATCTGTCTGTCGGACTGAAGGAATGTATTCATAGACATGCACTTCATGGCACATTGACATCATGATGAGGATTCCTTTAAAAAAAAAGAAAGAAAGAAAACTATATAGCATGCCAGTGAAATAGCAGAATAAAATGTGCTCTGTACATGCAAAAAGTCCAGGTAAGCTTTATTAACTCATTTAATCATCACAAGTTATTTAAAATATTGGGTAGGAGAATTATGCTATAATCCATGTTGATAACCAATAAAATGTACTACATTATGGGATACAAATCTGAACATTACCTTTTGAGTGGCTAGAGCAAACACAGTAACTTTATGTTTTCAAAACTTGCATATGACAGACAGAAAGTAGGTAGTTCTATCTCCCCCCACCACACACACTTCGGTCTATGTACTTAGTATTCAATAAAAGATGGGGTTGGGTTAGCAATTATGGCTATGGCAGAGGCAGCCAGTGGTTTCTCTCACCAAAGCACACTCAGCATCTTAGTTACCCACATGTATTTTGTGTCCAGAGATGTTAAGGAACCATAAATGTAGTTTAGCTATTTCCAAGGCTTACATATAACCCTTCTGAAATGTGACTACTCTGTGTTATTTACAGTCATTCCCCGTATTTGCTGGGGCTAGGAGCACAGGACCCCCATGAATGTGAAAAAATATGAATAATAATAAAATAATCCCTCTCTATGAATCCTTAGGTCGCCCAGCATAAATTTATGGTCAAGATCCTCCAGATGATGATAATAAAATCTTGGAATTTCTAGGTTGTCTCGGAATCTCTAGCTCTAGCAAATGTTGATCAATAAATTGCTCTGGAGAATCTGGAGATTCCTGGAGGTAACATTTTAATCAAATCTGTGAATAATCAAATCTCTAAAAGTCAAACCTAGAAATGTCGACAGTTGACTATTATTCTATGCACACTTTTAAAGAATTTAGTTTATGACCAGGGTTGAGCTGAAAATTATTTGACAATAATAGTGTTCATAAACATAACACCAGAATACTAATCTCATAGGACACCCTAAGATTTTTACAACACATTTGAATCCTACATTCCCACTGCTGAGGCACAATATTTTATTAGTTGGCAACTTATGTATAGAAAGTTATACTTTGGTGAAACAATACTGATGCTTGTTTTCTTTTTGGTTCCTTGTTTTTCAGTTCTATAAATGCTTTCTCATGCTTCTGCACTGCCAACCTTCTTCAGTTGCTGATGGAGAAACCATATGCCAGTCAAAGGTCACGGCCATCCACCAAAACCAGAAGGCACAAGGTGGAGTTACACTAAAAAGCCAAGTAGTCCCACAAATGGATGAGAAAGCAATCTGTCTTCTGAGCCCAGAGTCAAGCCTGGATCCGGTTTCAGAAAGCACACCCCAACTGTCCAAGGAAAATTCATTCCTGTGAAAAAGTACAAGCTATTGCCTGTACAACTACATCAAATATGTTACAGTTTGTAACTAATCGGCTCTTAGGAAATAGGCTATATGTTGAGCAGGAAAAGAACAGAAGTTCATCCTATTACTATTTTTAACTTTAAAGCAAGTAGAAATTATGTTATATGCTGGAAAAGATCTGTCTTCTAGATAAGGGAATTAGGGGGCCACTAGAATTTTAACACAAGATGAAGGTTGAGCATCCCTAACCAACAAATCCAAAATGCTCCAAAATCTGAAACATATTGCTGCCAGCCACCTATTTCCCCCTTTGACGTGGTGTCTGCGGTGTTCCTGCTCATTCATTTTTGCAAGATGGAAGCGGGTAGCTGGCAGGCTCCCCAGAGAAAGGTTAGCAAGAACTTGAGGATCTGTGGAATAGGGAGGGAATCCCATTTTGGGAGAAAGGCAGTATAAAAACCCAATAAATAATAATTTAAATACAAAACAGATGAGTGCTAAGCACTACGCTTGGATTTCTCCCATTTCACAGATCTTAAGTGTCTCTCCAGTTTCAGGTCTCACACATCACACAAGTAGCAAATCAACAATACAAGAGAGTGGAGAGAGGATTTGTGGAGTGGCAGGAGGCATGGATATCCAAGCTATCTCATTATATATATGCAAATATTCTGGTCCAAAGCATTTCTTTTCAATTCCTACTAGTAATATTAGCCTCCTGACAACATTGAACTGGGATTTTCTTTTAGATATATGTGTAGACTGATTAGCATTGGTCTCTAGAAAACTTTAAATACATTTTTCAGTCACATTCTTTACATAGAATAAAGTTATAAAACACTCTCTAGTTTTTGGTTTTTTATTAAGATTTCAGTTGAGTATCTCAAAGCTCACAATTTAAAATTGTACCAGCATGGTGGGATGGTTTAAGTGGTGGACTAGGACACTGGGGGACCAGTGTTTGAATGTCCATAAGCCATGTAAACCCACTGGGTGATCTTGGGCAAATCACACAGTGTCAGTCTCAGAGGAGGACAAGGGCAAACCCTTTTAAACAAATCCACCAAGACCACATAAATCAGAAATAACTTCAATGCACACAACAACCACCCTATACACTAGTTTAATCTTTTCAGGAATAAATGCAGTTCAGCCATTTGTTTTTTAATTGTAACACAGCTATTTATTAGGGTATTGTTTTTCCACAGGACTTTTGGACATCAGTTTTTCAATCATGATGTATAGTAAGATCTATACAATATATAACCCACTAAACTGAGTCCAGTCTTCTAGTCATAAGTGAATCTACATGTTGTCTTTTGTTTAGATAATTATATTCTGACATAATGAACTAAGATTAAAAAATGAAGCCTGGAAATCTTCTGTTAACTATAGTTTCCCATTCCATCAAAACTGGGAATCTAGTTAACAGCTTCAGAATAAGTCAGAATATTAAGCTAACTTCAAACAATGGCTTGTTCCATAGACATCATCCATGATATCATGGCTTGTTCCATAGACTTTATCATGATTTCCCATTTGAATGAAACAGGAAACCACAGTTAATGGAAGACTTCACTTAGGACCCTTTCACATAGCTGAATAATATCCCAGTTCAAAGCAGATATTGTGGGATTTTCTGCCTTGATATTATGGGTTATATGGCTGTGTGGAAGGGCCCTTATTCTCTTACTTTCTCACACAAAGCAGGGACATTTTAGGGCATTTCAGGACTTTTTTAAAAAAAATGCAAAAATAGTATTTTATCCCTGCAGCGGTTGGGGAGATGGACAAGGGGGGCCCATGTGGTATGGATGTGATTTAAATTAGTATGATACTTTGCATAAACAGTCTCAATCAATTTCAAAAATATAATCTCACTTTTGAATTGAACTAACAAAATATGTTCTAACGTTTACGTTTACTAGTTTAACCCCCTCCCCGCCTTTTTTATAGAACTGAAAAAGCATGACAGCGTTGAATATATCTTGTCATAGCAAAAGAAATTTTGACAATCATGGGATATGACCTCCTAGACTACAGAACTATTTTCCTTTTCAAACAGCTATTTAAATTCTAAATGCATACTCTATAAGGTTTTTCCCCTTATATGACAGTGCAAATGACATTTGAACCTCTGTCTTCCTTTTGGTGTCAGATATGACTCCTATGAATATAAATGTGAATTTAAGATCAAAATGAAATATTTATCTTAGTAAAGTATGGCCTCTGTATCCACAGAGGATATGTTCCTGGACTTCATGTGGGTATGAGAAAGTGTGGATCATACAAATTCTATTGAAATGAAGAAATTATGGTACAAGAATACCAGAGGACCTAGAAAATGCATAGAGAGGACATATTTTGCTGGACATGGATAAATGACATTGAAGATATAGTCCAGCAGATATGAGAGTTGCACTGTATACTTTAGTATTACACATAGGTGATCCCTTCACTATTGATGTGTAGATGATGACATACAGATCTGTCCAAACTGGTTCAGATTAATTTCATTGCATGTAAAGGATATGTATGAAGAAAGATCATATGGTTATCAGCATCTGTCTGTACCACTGATGGAGGGATATTTGCATAGGAACTGCATAAATGTGTAATTCTGGGGTTTACACATGAATAAAGGCTGCCTTTTTATTAAGCCCCAGACAAAATAATTACTGAGATAAAGCAAGAAGGCTTGAGGGGGTCACGATTTTGGTCCTCTCATTTGTCCATTCTGCCCTGCTATATTTTAACAAGATGACATTCTAGAAAGACTACCTTAAGGGCTCAATATCAGTATTTATGAACTAGTGAGATTCATGAATTCAAAATGAGAAAGAAACAGAATCTTAGAAGATTTTGTTACTAAACATCAGCCACCTTCTGCTCTGAGAATTGGCCATGGCTTATGGTAAACAATACAGGGCTAATGGCTTGGAGCCAGACCAAGTTGAAATACGTAGGGCACATTTGTTACAACCAAACAAAGTATCATATGTGTTTAGTGCAGATCCAAGCCACCAACTTCAGCGTAACTAATCTTTTATTTTTCTTGAATATTAAGTGTGGATCTTAAAGCCTCCCCAATTTTTAATTTTTTTTTGCAAAAAAATCCAGGGACATATCTGCTTTCCACACCCAGATCCTCTTTGTTCTCTCTTCTAAAATGACAAGCCTTCACCTGTGGGCAAAAACAAAAACTTGCAAGGATTTCAAAACATGATCTAGTCTTCAATCTAAAAATGACATGTTTTACTGAAGAATAAATCAGGTATAGCTCACATATACTTTTAGAAAACAATTAAAAGAAGTTCAGAATGGGTGGAAAAGTTGACAAGTAAAAATAAAACTGTGATAACTTTCTGCTATATGATTGTTCTGATGCAAGTACTTCAATACAATCATGAAATTCTTAACATGCTGTGGCTTGCACCTTATTTACTTTGCATCAGGAAAAGTTCATATACAAAATGAAATGCCCTTGGGCATACATATGGCACAGACCTAGTTCATGGAAGTGGGAAACGTCTATTTTGCTGGATCTCCATGAATATTGGACACATAATCTATAGTGTTTCAATTGAAGCTAACCAAAGTATGTATGTGTGTATGTATTTGTATGCGCAAATGTATTTCTATATGTGCACACGTGTATGTAAGCTCATGCTCACTATATCTAGTTCAGCTTCCATTATATATATTAAAATGTTATGCATTTTAGTAATTCCATCATATTCACATTGATGTTTATATATAAAGATACCACTAGAACTCAACCCTGTTTCAATCACAGCTTGTATTTTTGTACATACATACTACCTATAGTTGATTCTGGTCAAACAAATGTTTCAAATCTGTGTTGCTGGAAATTAGGTGCATCTTATACAATCACTTAACAACATAGCATTTATACATTTGTGTTACTTGTTTGGTCATGTAAATGTATGTTCACAATGAAATCATACACATATACACATTTTATCAAGAAGCCCTGCTGAATTTTCAATATGCCATGTTACCTATGGAACCGTGAAACAGGAATTGCCATGTTCAATAAAATATTTTGTGCTTAGTTTTCACCTATTTTGTTTTCCTAAAGCCACATTACTCCTTAAAAGATGATTCTTTGGGTCAATTTTTGTCAGTATTAAAATCAGTAGCTGATTACACCCAATGTCAATTCTGTTGTAATGGCAATATTAAGCTAATTTCTGAGGAAAGACATTGGATATAACTACCTACTGGCATACCTTAGGTTGGACAAGATGTTAATTTGCCAGACAGGCACTTATCTGGAAGTCAGAAGAATTTGAAGTGGAATGTTGTTGAAATTCAGATGCAGATTTCTCAGACTTAAAGGAACACTGTATTTACATTAAAAACCATTGGTGCGAGTACATGGTATGGTAAGTATCCAAAGAAAGGATTAGTAACAGCAAAGCTGTGAAATATAGCATTGTGCTGAAAGTACTACAATATATGAATGGACAGCTGTGATCATCCAGATATTGCTGGAATTCCAACTTGCAGCAGTGCTAACCATTGCCAACCTTGCCAAGTGATCATGAGGGTTATAATTCAAAAACATCTGCAAGGACACACTTGATCACTTCTCATTTATAGCTCATTTAGCACATAAACCACATATTGTAATAATATGAAAGCCAGCTGATATATGTACAAGTTAGTGCTCACTATGATTTCAAGTGAAGAGTTCCTGCAAGCCAGCGCAGTTCAACAAGAGCAGATTCATTATATCACTTTTACATCAATGTAAAACCAATACTTGTGATGTTATGATACCAAAAGATGAACATACATAAGATATTCTTCCCTATTCCTAAAAAAACAAATCAGCAAAAATATCTTGCATTTCCATCCGTAATAAGCTAGAGGAATGTGGAAAGCAGAACTATTTCAAACATGATTCACATGAAAATATGTATGCCTGAACTAATTCGTATTTTAAAAAACGGTGAAAGTACTGCTGCAAAATGAGTCACAGAATGCGTCAGCGGAATGAAAAATTAAAGAAAGAAGTATTTTTGAGTATTTCCCAAAGTAGGTTTCTGCTATTTACATCCATCGCTTTTTAAAGGATATATCTGTTCAGGATGTGATTATGGTTACTTATCCTTCATAATCCACATTGCTTAATGCCCATGTAGGCTGCCAGTAAGGTGTGTATACAGCTGAGAGTTTCTACAACATGCCTAATCTTTATTTATTTTTTTACTTCCTTAAATCACCTGAACTTTTTTTGTTCAACATCCACCAGTTTTGTATCATGCCCTTTCACCAGATTTTAATTGAACCCAAGTTTCCACTAACAAATACTTTACCACAACGACTACTTGGGTTATTTGAGCAGAAGGGATTAAGCAGTTGCAAATTAACCCAAGTATTTATATACAATGTTTAGCCACTATTCCCTTCTAGAGGTGAGAGAAGGAAGAAAAATGTGGAAAGTGCTAAAAATGTTGTCATAGATAATCAGGATGTAAAGAACAGACAAATTTATCTTTTGAGTATTATTTTTCCTAAGAACACCTTATGAAATTTATGCAGTCGCCATATGTTGTCAGGCAAGTTGGAGACACATAAACAGAAGTATGCTCCAGTATGGTGTAGTGGTTGAGTGTTGGGCCAGAGAGACCAGGATTTGAATCCCTGCCCGGCTATAGAAACCCACTGGGTGACCTTGGACATGTCATACTCTGAGTCTCAGAAGATGATGATGAAAAATCTACTCTGAACCAATTCTGCCAGAAATTATGTGATAGATTTCCCTTACAAAACCATAAATCAGAAACTATTTGAAGGCACACAATAAGAAATGAGTCATTAATAGGTTTTCAGATCACATCAACTTATTTAAGGTGGCCAGAAGAAGAAAAAGAAATTGTGAAGTGTTTTCTCCAAACTGGGTGACTACCTATTAAAATATTAAATAAATGGAGTGTAAATCACCTACCTTTCCAACCCAAACAGCCCTGTGATGTTGTTATATGTATTTAAGCTGATCCCAATGTATGGATCCCAACTATATCACAAAGTTTTATTCAAAGGACTGTTGAATTCTTAAGATGTATTTGAGATTAATTTACCACTGCCTTTTTCTAAAATTGAGACAATGGCATTTGTCTGAGGTTAGTCAATTAATTTCTATAGCTGAGCAGCTATTTTGATCTTTCTCCAACACCATGCTGACCCTGAACAAATCTCAGTTTATTTGAGTACCTGATTAAAATTTAAATGGGACATCACCAGGGAATATCAGGAAACCTTAGCTAGCAGAAGAAAATGCCAAGGATGTCTAAATAATGCTTAGACTTTTCCCTAAAACCTTTGAGGCCAAAAAAAGAAGAGAAAAAAGAAGTATCTAGGATAAGATTTCATGAACTGGTTCACTTCATCAGATGTGTGTTAGTTCTACTTAGTCTCAAAGGTGGCACTGGGTTTCTTTTGAGCTTTCTGTGTAGAATAAGATTAGCAATACTTCCTGTCCTGTTGAGTTTATGCTCTATCATCCAGGATGAGAGTCAATGCACCTTTGAAATGCAGTTGGGGAGGATCAAGAAAAGGAAGAGACTCTTACTTTCATATGAGCTTCATTTAAGGCACACATGTCAAACATAAGGTCCACGGGCCCAATTTAGCCTACTATGTCATTTTATGCTTTCAATGCTAGGGCAACATAGTTACATTTACATAGTTTTTACCATTACCAATGGACCTCTGAAAGCAACCACAAGGCTGATGAAAATAAGTTTGACACCCTTGATTTAAGGTATGCTGTAGGAAGCGGGCCTCTGATCTCATTAAGCAAGGATATTAGGTTTTGATAGCCTTGTTGTTTACATGACATTTTTTTAAACAAAACAACAACTTATACACAGCATGAAACGGACCTTGTAGCACCATAGAGATACCAATAGCTGAGAAAATAAAGCTGGTAGCATATGCTTTTGTAGACTAAGTCTGCCTTCTCAGATGCATGGAGTGAAATCTCTAAAGAAAACACATATAGCCCATTTTCATCATCCAAATAGTTTTTGGCCATAGTGCTTTACATAATGGCCTCAATCCAACACCCTCTTACTGTAATGTAAATCTGTCTCCGAACATACCCTGATCAACAGCAAAGCAGCTGAAACCATCCTGCATAGTCATTCCATGCTTCACTGCTGGCCAAAGAAGAGTGGCTGTTACCCAGGCATAGGCAAACTTCAGTCCTCCAGGTGTTTTGGACTTCAACTCCCAAAATTCCTAACAACTGGTTATTGGGAATTGTGGAAGTCCATAACAATGGGAAGGCCAAAGTTTGCCCATGCCTGCTGTATCCTCATGGTCTGACACAAAGTGTTTTGGAAGACCCTGATGGAGCTCAGTGCTCTTGTAATCATTTTGCATCTGGCTATGGGCTTCTACTAGGTGCAGCTCCGATCCTGCCTGCTCATTGTGAGGCATAGAATGACTTAGATTTTTTTTACAGTGATTCTGGGCAAGATGGGTATGACACTGTGGAGGAAGGAAGGGAATACAACTCCCACAACTCCCACAAAGGACAACTGTACATATAAAGAACACATATGTTTGTGTATGTCTCTTAATAGGATTCTGGCCATTGAGTGCAAGGTTATTAGAATTAAGTCTCAACCAGAGAGAAACAGATCACTCTATCTCCATTTGTTAAAACAGTATAAAATAGTTATGACACTATATAACATAATGAATTTCGAGCTTTTGAAATCTAAACCATACCTGTGATAATCACATCCTAGGAGGCATTCCATGAATGAGGATATTTATGTTAACAAAGCATTATTAATGTGCACAAAGGAATTTGTACAGTAGATCAGTTTTAAGATCATTTGAAAAAAGATCAATTTCAACATATTTCCTCATAGATGGATAGACAGCTAGTTTAAGCAGGTAGAAAGACAGACATATTCAAGTAGACAAGAGATTCTTGCAGAGAGGGCTGTTCTGTCACATGTGACAGTCCTCATTTATTTTCTTTTATCAATATTGAATTTTGCCACTGGGTATATTTAGTTCATAAATGTGAAATTTTGGTTCAGCAAATAATCTAGAAGCATCTTTCAATTTATTATTCTATGACATTCACAACAGCCATTCTTCCACTCTGTCAGCATTAGCTCAAATCAGCTACCTTCTTTAAGACAGGATGATGGATAACCATTCTAAAATATCCATCTCATAAACATTTATGCAGATTGAATGCACCATATACTCACACATTACTTTACCCTCTCTGCCTACTCCTCAAACAGCTATAAAATTTCCACTTTTAAGTACATTGTATGGCTGTATGTTTCACATTAAATAGTGACACACACATTTTTAGCATGCTTTCAAGCCCCCCCCCCCCTTTTATTTTTGCTAAAATAAATGTTGTAATCTATTTTTTTTAATATACAGTGGCCTATTTGGTTAGGAAGCTCCATATCCATGTGTGGGAAATTACCCTATATATGTATGTATAAGTCTAGAAATGTTAGTCAAAATATCAATCCCCCAAAACAAGTTCAATTTATCCACAAGTGAATGTAACAAGTACTTCTCAAAAAAGGAACTATTCTCTTCTCTGATTAAAGTGGCAAAAGTGAGTCCATTCCAGGAGATCAAAAGATGCACTGACCCACTCTACTTTCTTCAGTTCTTTTTGAATCCCTGGGTGAGAAAATGGTGACAGTGGCCAGAGGTGGCTGGCCACAAGTAGGGATTGGTGCTTTCCTCTCTCTGTACAATGGCCTTTTATTTATCCATGGGTCATATCAAAGCACATAATTTTGGCTCCAAACATGCCCTCAATGTATTCCTAGGGTTGACTTGTACATGCCCATGTATGGTAAATCCAGAAAGAATAAATTTTGCATGTTTATTTCCCCTTCCTGATAACAACAGCCTAAGTTAGATATTCAAAATGCTGCTATTCAGCTGTTTGTCAGGAACCCATGAGTTCTTCCCACTTTACTGAGAAAGTTCTCAGCATATTAGCAGCATTCAGTTTATTCAGAAAAGAGATTATGTCTGGCATCCTGTTAGTACAATTCACATGCCTAGTTCCACATTATCCTTGCTTTTTTGTGGTTTTGAACACAGTATTGATATGTTCGTAGAAATGTATATTAATGTGTGTATTTGCAGCATTTTTTATAATGTTTATGTGTTGTAATTGTTCTGTAAGTCTACTCGAGCCACAAGGACAGGTGAGGAAGAAATAATAATAATAATAATAATAATAATAATAATAATAATAATAATTTGAAACACAACAAGATTAGTACACAGCAAACAAGATCACTATGCTGGTTGTTGTATTGGATCACACGTCGGACACTTCCCAAGTGTCCAGGACTGTGTGATGTATCGGTGAATAATGCATGCAGATCTGAGTAGGGTGGCCTTTTGCAGCTGACAGATAATAATTTTGCCAGTGCCAATTGTGTTTAAGTGCAGGCCAAGGTCTTTAGGCACTGCACCCAGTGTGCCGATCACCACTGGAACCACCTTTACTGGCTTGTGCCAGTCTTTGCAGTTCGATCTTTAAATCCTTGTATCGTGTCAGCTTTTCCAGCTGTTTCTCTTAAATCCCGCTGTCATCTGGGATTATTATTATTTTCTATCTGATTTCAAATTCTGGCATTGACAACTGAGTCCCAGCAAAAGCCTCACTAAAAATGTGAAAGTCAAGATAACACATACCTGTTTTGCATTCTGGGGCTGGAGAAAAGAACTTTGTACAGTGGAGAATATTTTAGTAATAAAGGCAATCTACCAGTGGATACACCTACCAATGAAACCTGAAGAAGGCGGATTGGGTTGTATCTTTTCCTTGGTGTTTTCTTGAATGATATCCCAGAGCTGCCATATAAATTTTGGATGGAGAATGTAAAATGGTTGGTTTGGATTCTTTCTGCGATGTTGTACATATGGAGTAAACAAATTGTAGTCTGGTTTCTTAAACCACTAGTGAAGGAAATAAAAACATATTTTATTGAAGTTTTTTTTTTTACTGAAGTTCTAAGCCCATACTAAATAATGACATATTTGCAGCTCTCTCTTCATACAAACATCATGGCATATAACCAAGTAAATCTGGATGTCTACGACTTGAAATCTAATCCCTCCATTAGGAATCTCAATAAGTAGACCTCTCAAACCGATGTGAATTTTTTCATGTTAAAAAAAATTGGAGGACAGAAAGGTAACTTTCAGGATTGCAACACTGCCCCCTGTATGAGATTTATAAAATTGTCAATATTTATTTCCCTCAGTTTCACTTTTTTAAACTTTAAGTTTGTTTGATCTCAACTCCATATATTTTAAATTGTACAAAGTTAGCAAAATGAATATAGATCTTAACGTGACATTAATTATATTTATCAGTTATATACTGTATTTCTTCAATTCTAAGACACTATCAATTGTAAGATGCACACTAATTTCAGTACCACCAACAGAAAAAAACTTTATTTATATACATAAAAGAAACACCAGCAATTCTAATACACAACCCATTTTTAGAGGTATTTATATAGGAAAAAGTGCATTTTAGAACTGATGAACTAAAGTTTTAATATAATATACACATTTAATTATGGTATTGTGTGCATATTATTGTGTATATAACATTTTATTTAAGTTATACATACAGTATTATACATTTCTTTGTATGTCATTTTACTGTACACACATGTATGTGCGTATGCATAATTTTCTTTAATATATGGATTTTGTTTGTTATTTCCACAATACAGGCAGTCCCTGAGTTACAAACATCTGACTTACAAACAAATCATAGTTAAGAATGTGGGTAAGACAACAGGAAGTGAGAGAAATCTACGCCAAGGAAGGGAAATTCACTCCTGAAAGAGGAAAGGTGTCTCAACTGAAGCTTTATCACCAGTCTTTGTTTCTACAGCAAACCACATTTTTGTATATGACATTTTGTGAAGTTTTTCTGATAGTGCATTTTTGTATGATTGTTCTGACTGACGACTGAGTATGTAAAAAAGCTGGCATATCAAAGTTATCTGTGTTTCAATTCATACACCAATTCGCATTAAAATGTGGACAAAATGAACTTTTCTCATAGCTAATGGTGCAGACTATGCAGGAGACAGTGAAAGTATTTGCTGTTTAGGTAGGAATTCTACTGACTTTTGAAAAGATGATAACTTGGTTATACTATGTATCTGGGACGCACCATAGTGGGCCCTCGATATCCATTGGGGTTTAGTTCCAAGAACTGCCCATGGATACAGAAATCCATGGCTGTTAAAGTCCCATTATATATGTAATCACCAGGCAACATACTGTATTTTACTCTTTAGTTCTCCAAAACTCAATTTTTTTCTTCTCTAGTGTTATTTTGTGTATCAATTGATATAAAAAAACCCAGAGAGAACATGCGAATTCACAATTCCTCCAATTGTAGGGGAATATTTTTTCACAGTTTACTATTGTTTCAGTTCATTTTGGACAGTAGAGGACTATGAAGACAAAATTGCAGTTGGAGAAGCATTTACACCAGGGAGTTCACTTTAGAAGCAGCGAGGGTAAAATGATGGGCCAATCAGGAAGGAAGAAAGGAGGCTGATTGCTGGATAAGTATATTAAATACTCATTTTCAATTTGTTTTTGGCCAGCATTAACCCAAATCTATCTTTGTTATCACAATTGTTAGATGGTTTAATCTCCGGGATTCAATTTATGGTACTGGCCAAAGCAACACGTGAAGCTGCTCTTATAGGATCCATGGCTCCCTCTAGTGCCAAGAGATGAACATTAATTTAATAAATTCAGCAGATTCATGGAATCACAGAAAATTCACCACTCGATGAAGAATTTGCATGAGGCAGGCACATAATTCCTGCATTAACCAGTGAAAGCAGTCTCAAGTCAAGGAAGCATAAAAATCGAAACTTACTCAATACTTTTTCATTTGAATTTTGTAAATCTAAGAAGCCTCGCAAAATTCATTTTCATTTTCAGCGCAAGCAAGCAAAGCAAAACCAAAAAGGCTGCCAATCCTCTTTAAATTAATGGCCTCTCGCCATTAGGAGAAAGAGGCAGCAGGGAGAAAGTAGAGTTGACTGGGAATGAAACTGAGAAAGCACAGAATTCTGGAAAATGTCATTTGGGAAGACGAGGAGCCTTATGCCAGAGAATTCAAAAGGCCCTGCTCTAAATTACATTTCCTAGAATTCTGCTCAGCATCAGAGGGCCCCAATCAGGATAGAGGAGGGATTTGTCCCTCCGTAGGAGCAACCAGCCAGAGTTCCAATAAATTGTTGAATTTGCAAAGAGGAGGACTGACTGATACTTCTAGTAAGTAAATCTCTGTGCTGGGTTGGGAATAAATCCCTAAATGGAACTTCTATTGGTTAATATGAGAAACATTCAATGACATGGCTGTTGTATCTTTTTTTAAAAAAAATAAAGAAGTTTCTGTCAAAATTTTAAAAACTTCCCTAAAATCAATAGATGTATGAATATTTCTGAAAGTGGGGGGGGGGGGATGATCCATCCCGTTACCTTGTGTCACTGCATAGAAAATTCAAGGAGATAGCTCTTGTAATTTTATAAAATGTTGTTTATAAAAACTTCAAAAATTCCCTGAAAATCAACGGATGAGTGAGACGTTCTGAAACTTGATAGGCTAACTGTGGTAAATATGTTCTATCATTGTAGCAAGTTTCACCCCAATAGGTGTAAAATAGGGGAGAAATTTTGTTACTGGTGTTATAGTAACAACATTTTCACTAATGATACTTTAAAAATGTTTTAGAAACAAAATGCTGGTGCCTTCTAATTTTGTAATGAGTTTTGAAACCTTTTATTCATCAATCACACAGGCCTGTAATTATCACTAACTAGTGACATGTAACTATCTCATGAATGAAAAAAATAAAGGTTTAAAAAGGGATAATATTTTGATTGTAATTTAGTGAGGTACAACTGCACTCATTTTGAGGTACAGAAGTAATGTTTAAAGTTACTTGTACAAATCTGGCACTGTGGCCTCACTAAATAGTGAAGGAAGAGTATCATTTGGTTCCAGTGCCAGCTCATGTTCTGTTAGTGGTTGTAGGAAAGTGTGTTTTGTGAACAGGACAGTGACATATGGCATTCATAATGTTTTTCTTAAAGAACTCAAGTTAACTATTTTAGTTAGCTTTGACTCAAGAAATGAGAAAATTGGGTTTTGTTTTTTTTTTAAAAAAAGAATCAACTGTAACAGTAACTACTGATGTCAAGAAACTATAATGCAACACATTCCTTTGTAACAATAACTTTCCTAGCTATGATTTCTTCCATCAGGTAGCAAGAATACAAACAGATGCTGAACTGTATCCTAGCCAGTGACTTACCACATTGAGATTTGCAGAATAGGGAGCAGGATCCCAAGCTACTAAGATAACATCTTTATATAAAGGGTTCTCGATGAAGTGATGGTTTGGATTAGTAAGAATCTGAAAATACAAAAACACACATATGCTAAAACCTTACTGAATATAAAATCAAATCTTTATCAGTGTACCTTTTTACATCTGTATGTGTACATGTAGTATGTACATATGTATATATACACACACATACACACAGGAAGGCACAGCAGGTTAAAATACCTTTTTAAAAAAAATGAAAATGGAAGATAAGCATGGGATTCTAAAAAGGTATTTGCTAATATGTAAATTACCACTACATCTGCTGGGAATGGCAACACCTTCTCAATATACTGAGGGCGCATCTAGACAGTCCCTTTTTTGTGGTAACTCCCACAATAAATAAGGGGCTGTCCAGATAACATCCTGGACAATCTCAAATTAATTCATCACAAACCAAGAAAACCTTGATCTCTGGACTGCGCACCCTGGACTGCACACTTTCTGGGGTGGGTATAGACAGGTCCTCAGGAACATCTGTGTTTTTTAAACGTGGATGCTCCTGGGATAAAGGGCTGTCTGGAACCGCCCTGAGCTACCAATAAAACACTTAAGTTGGTATCACAGTTGTCTGCTTTGTGGGACCTCTGATATGACTGTGATAACGCTGCACATCCCATGCTTGGTGAAGTATTCTATAAAACTTTCCTCACTCTATTATCATACAAGGATTTACCTCCACTTTCCCCCATGAACGCTGTGGGTATACCTCCCTCCAAATTCTAGACTATACGTACACCCATATTTTTTTGCAAGAATATTTTTTTCTAAGACTACGTTATTACAGAGACAGATAATAATGTCATCCCTTTATAAAACAAGCATCTAATTCCAAAGCTTAGAGTATTAATTTATCAAGATATATTCCAAGATTCAAGACATTATAAATAACTGAAACTGCAGGCGTTTTAAGACCAGCTGAAAAATAGTAAATCTTGGGCCAGTCAAAACTAACACACTTTAATACTTACTGAAAGCAAATTGATTAAGCATTTATTTAAAGCCTCTAGTTGAAGCATTAGATTTTAAATTCTCCTTTGAATTCAAACAAGCTTAAAGCCTAACACCAAACATACCAGCAAATATGCACCATGAATTCATTTCTGAGCAAACATACTTATGGTCAGGCAAATTGCTTAAACTTGCCTACACTGTGCCCTTAATCTAGATCTATTGACATTGAATTGAATTAGATAACTCTTCCCCGTGTTGATTTCCCTACTTTAATATAACTGAATTAAATCTTCATTTCAGTTCCCTTTAGATACCAATCAGCAATGTTTTGTTTTGTGTGCTGCCCATTATTTTCGGTACAACAGCATGTTTTATATCATTTTGGCAAGCTGCAGTCTGCAGGCCACATGCAGCCATCAAAGTGTGGCCTCTGAATCCCCCAAAATACCCAGACCCCCACATTTTAATTTTTGTGTCTTTTGAGGTGATTCCATTCTCATCCAATTTGCAGCAAACATCCAAAATTGATCACAAAATTGGTGGTACTTTACTAGTCCACTGCAAACCTGCTAAAAAAAAGGAGGGAAAGGCCTAAAATTGTCCAAAATGGCAGTTGGAGGTAACATTAGATCCGTTTTGATACAATGAACTTGGAAGTCCAATAATGCTGAGCACAAAAGAGTCACTGGATAGTATTAGGGTGAGCTTAAGTGGCCTAATGTGCCTTAATGTCTCTGAATGCTGCACACATTCTATCAAGTTATAGGCCCAGCACCCTTTGCACTATCATGAGTCATGAGGATATGGCTCACTGGAGAGTCATGTGAGAGGAGCACAACATGTCATTCTCCATATGCTCCATATGCTGTGATACCATCTCGCAGAGCTTCAAAAGCTAATGTGATGTATTTTGTGGTTTTCAGGTGAATTTTGGATTATGTTTTTGTTTTATGGTCAACATGGATATCATGGTAGCATAGCTGTAATAACAAAATGGCATCCCCACATTCATAGCCAGAGGATAAACCTGTTAAAGAAGACAGATACTTTTTGTTCACCTTCAACTGCAATCCAGTCACCTTGTATTACAAAAGATCAAATGGCAAACAAAGGGGTCTTTAACCATTGCAGGGCAAATAACAAAAGAATTCACATCTTTTCTAGAATGGGATACATAAAATGGGATACATATCAGTTGATGAGATATATGTGTCCCTGGGCATAACATCTTTAACAGAATATTTGGTCCCAGAGGCAAAGGTAATGTAGAAAAAATATGCTGAGATTCCTACACAACTAAAAAGAGCAGCGCAACATATTTCAAGAAACTTGCAAAACTAATATTATGCACTAATAGAGTACATTCATCAGGGACGGGCTTTATCTCCATGCTTCTTCTAATTTTCATTTAGATATTTTTAACATGCTGGGAGGTGTAGCTTGTGAGGAAGGTTCATTGTTGCTGCACTTGTTCCTGCTGCCACTGCCAAGGATAGAAGAATTATGCCAATGTAGTTCAGCAGTTGAGTTCTAGATATAATAAAATGTGTAGCTGCACTGGATGTCTAATGTTACAGACATTCAAGGAGTAAGCCACCATTTTTGTTTAACAAATAAATTCTTAATAGAAGATGACTGATAGATATGGAGTTCAATATTGTTTTAATTCTCTGTTATGTGTTGCTGCTGTTTAAGTGTGTATTCCAATATACAAAACTAAGGGTCCTTCCAGACAGGCCTTTAATTCGAGACTTGTCTTGCTTTTACCGGAGGTGTCCAAACAACATCTCCAGTAAAAGCAAATTAATGCTGAGTAAACCGGGTTTCCATGGCTTACTCCACATTACTTAAATATCTCATTAGATCCAGAGATCCAGATCTTAATGAAATATCCAAGCCTAATGAGATATTAAGCCTGTGTGGATTGACTCTCGGGATGCATTCCCAGGGGTCAAGCCACCTGGGGTCAAGCCACATAGCTATCTCACACTCCAGGAGCCCTAAGGTGCAAAAGGGTGCCTGCCCCTCTCTCCAAGCCCCAAATTTCCTCCCTAAAGCTTACTGAAAAGGGTCCCTGGCAGCCATTAAGCCTCTCTTCACATCCTCCTGAGTAGAGGAATGACACATGAGGATACCTGGGAGTGGAGGGAAGAGTATTTTTCTCCTCACCCCTTCCATCTTCTCAGATGCAATTTCCCCCACTCAGGAGGATGTGAAGAGAGGCTTAATGGCTGCCAGGGACCCTTTTCAGTAAGTTTTAGGGGAAAAATTTGGTGCTTCAGGGTGGCTTCATGCCATTCTGATTTCAATTGGGATAGCATGTAGCTACCCCTGCAGGGAAAGTCCAGGTTTCGGGTTGGTGGTGGGAACTAGAATGCAAGTGGAAGCAGGTTATTTTAAGCCATTTTCACTCGCATTTTTGTACAATGTAGAAGAGCCATTTGGAACAACAATTTCAACAATAGCAACAAAATAATATCCAAGAAGTTCTCCATCAATTCTACTTAAAGTGGCGGTCCCTGAGTCATTGGTTGTCAGTACCTGGTGAATTTCCTTGAAAGAAAGAAACAAATGGTCACAAATATGGTATCAGTCTCTGGCACACTGCAAAAAAAATTACAGGTCCTTGCATGGTTTAAGATAGTTTAAGAAGTATTGCTGATATAAAATAATATTAAAGCAGAATGGGTCACTTGTGGCATTTACATGTTGGAATTCATCCAGTCCTCATAGTCAATTGTGAGAATGATGAGTGGTGCAGTCTAGCAACATCTGTATCCCACCTCTGCATTAAAGACACTTACCTGGGAATTAATAATACGCATGGTAGTTTTATTTCCAACATCTCTTTCATAACCTCGGGTTGGAGCTGAATTGAATCGAAGAACTGCCTCATGGGAATCTAAAGGCAGAGAAGAACTATATTTAGATGTGTTTGTGTATACATGGCTACTTGGGGATAAATGTTACCATACCCAATAGATTACTTTATATGGTAAGTTTGTTTAGAACTTGTTTTTCTAAAAAAACTTACCCTACCCTTCAAGAAAATGCAAATATCATGTATCTGTTATGTGCTGCTGCACTGTTCAACCCACTGAACATTCAGATATTAATGTAAGGGAAGTTGGTTAATGTAAGGTTAATGTAAGGTTGGTTAAGTTGGTTAATGTAAGGGAAGTTGAGGATGCTTGCCATAGATGCAGGCGAAACGTCAGGAGAAATGCCTCTAGAACATGGCTCTATAGCCCGAAAAAACCCACAAGAACCTAGTGATTCCAGCCATGAAAGCCTTCGACAATACATTGAAGTTGGTTAAGCTTTCAAAATTAATACAGAAATATTAACGGTTCACATAACAAAACACTGTTCCTTTATTATACATAACAATTCCATGTATGCAAAGATAATAAATGGCAACATCTAACTGTAGTTCAGTTGCTTCTCCATTCCAAATTATTTTCTAATTTGTTATTTACTTCTTTAAAACTACTCATAAAAATTGTTAGCCAGAATGAATAAATTTAGCACAACAAACATAAAAATGTCTATTTAATGTTAAATATATTTTTTTCAGTATTTTCATTTCAATATCTTTCTCATCAATTTTAATTTTAGGATTATAATCATTTTCATATTTATGATAAGAACGTTTTAGAAATGATGCTGAGAAATAACTGTATGTCCCTGTGTTATGAGCACACCATGTCTTAGCACTGTATTGTAAAAATGCCATGCTGTCTTTTGTCTTTATTATCTGTGGATGCTCATGACAGAAGAAAAGATAAGAGGGCTCAATGTAACAGTTAAGTAAAATTCAAAACTGTGACAAATTTCTTTTTTGTAAAATCATTGTAAGCCTTAACATTCATAACTGTGTAGAATTTATAGCTGACAAACAGAAGAGGGCACCAAAGGTCTACTGCTAAGCATGGGAATCATAGGATTTTCCAATTTTTTCATGAATTCTGTACAATAGTTAGCCATGTTTTTTTCCCCAGGCATCAAATAGTCAACTTCATCTGAAAAATATATTTAATCATGCTCGGTCTCTCCAGAGTCAGGTTTGTGTGATAACTTTGGTGATAAAATCATCTTCAAAAACTCCTAAAGGAAGTCCAACTGTAAGAGGTGAGTGCCAATGTGTTCTTCTCAATTCATTCTGAATGGAAAGCTGGCTGTTTTTACGTATGAGTTATTTCTGAATGTGTGTCCTAGGATTCTTTTCTTAAGTTTAAACCAATATTGCACCACTTTGGGCAAAGTCAGGGGGTGCTCCATAGTTTGCTGGAAACTCTGGAATATCCCATGGCTTCAGGGCGGTCTGGATAGCTAAATCAGGTCCTATTCGGCCTGATTCACTCTTCAAAGTGGGCACTGGTTTCATCATTCTTTCCTTATGTTTATCAGCACAGGGAATGGGGATGGATTGTGCCTTTGTTACCACCATAGCCACTACAAGACTCCCTTTGAGCTCCTAGCCATCACGGAAGCTTTTGCTGACATCGGAATAGGTACTGGTGATCTAATGAGGGAGGGGTATGATCTTCTTCTCTCCTCCTGTTCATGCAGGAGGTTCTGTCAATGTCAGAACAGAATGTCTACACAACCAAAAAGGAAGGAGATTACCCTCTCCATCATATTGATTGCAAGTGCCACATTTTGATGTCAGAAGAGCTGTCCGCAACAGCCAGGAGCTTGTATAGAACTCCATGGCTGGATGGGAGGTGGTGGTGACACAGAGGAAATAAGATAAATACTGACCTATGGAGCAATGTGCCAAATCCAAGGTTGCTTCAGGACATATTTGCACTGAATAGATGTGGCCTTAATTAGTGAAAAATAAAATATTTATCTGTGCTTAGAAAGGAATTCAGAAAAAGTAATTATTAAAAAGTTAGAAACCTCATTACCTCAAAATTAGTTGCCATCCTAGCTACACGTCGTTGTTCAAAAGTAACTGAAACAGTTATTTTGTGGGAAAACACACCAAAATCGTTTTATATATAACATAAAGTGGGAATAGTTAGAAGTGGACATTTTTTAAGAAAATGGGTGTTAGCAACATTAAAGGAAGAATATATGTAGGTACTGATATAATCTTTTTCATCTATCAGTCCCCATTCTCTATGACCAAAGGAGGAAAAGGATGTAGAGGTGACAAACCAGGAAGCCCCAAAGGACTTTTTTTTAAAAAAAAACTTTCCAGGCTAGTAAAGGATGGAAAAGAGCAGCTATCTGTGAAGTGCAGCTGAAGGAATGGTGAGTGGATGAAGAAGTTGATGTGTGTTTCACAATTCTCTTAGGCCCTGTCTAGACAGACCCAATACTCGTGATAGGTTTGAGATTAGCCTGAGGTTTCCAAATGATACCTCAGGTTAATCCGGATTAATCAAGAGTAAACCAGAATTTCCAAATTTACCCTGGATTTTTTTTTAAAAACACCTGAAAAGATCTGGACCTTACTGCAAAGTCTGTATCTTTTCAGGTGTTGGGCCTGTGGGAACTGACTCTCAGGACTGCCTTCCATGACCTCAGGGAGCCAATCCCCATTGCCATCCCAGTTTTACTCCTCCCTTCCCCACTCTCAATTTACCCTCCAAACTTACTGAATGAGTCTAGCTGCATATTCAGGTCCTTGGGGAAAGTATCTGACACAGCATTTTGAGATTTCCCCTCTCCCCTCTCCAAAGCTCCTGACACGTCATTTGCAGTAAGGTACTGATTATTATTATTATTATTATCATTATTATTTCGGTTACTTCTACCCCGCCCTTCTCACCCCAGAGGGGACTCAGGGTGGCTTACAAAGGCACAATTCGATGCCGGCATCAACATAACAGTAGAATAAAAACAATATAGCAGCAATTAAACAATTAACAATCAGTTTCTGCATTGCAACAATAAAACCAATAAAACAATAGAACCGATTTCACCTAATTAACCCTCAGCGTTCGCCATCTCATAGTCCAAATTCCAATTCCACTTTGTCCGTTCTGTCAGTCCTAGTCGACTGATTGTCCTTATCTAGTTGTCAAGATTGCCCGAAGGCCTGGTCCCACAACCATATTTTTAATTTCCTCCTGAAGGAGAGGAGGGATGTTGATGACCTAATTTCCCCCGGGAGTGAGTTCCACAGGTGAGGGGCCACCACTGAGAAGGCCCTGCTCCTTGTCTCCACCAACTTCACTTGTGATAGCGGTGGGTTCGAGAGCAGGGCCTCCCCAGATGATCTCAAGCTCCGGGGTGGGACGTAGAGGGAGATGCGTTTGGACAGATACGCTGGACCGGAACCGTATAGGGTTTTGTAGGTCAAAACCAGCACCTTGAATTGTGCTCGGAACTGAACCGGCAGCCAGTGGAGCTGACACAGCAGGGGGGTGGTGTGCTCCCTGTATGACGCTCCGGTGAGTAATCTGGCTGCCGCTCGCTGGACCAGTTGAAGTTTCCGAACAGTCTTCAAGGGCAACCCCACGTAGAGTGCGTTGCAGTAATCTATTTGGGATGTACTGATCTTTTCAGGTGTGGATGGCATGATTTTAATATGAAATGTTATGTTTATAAATGTTTAATATGTTTTTAATTTAAATCTAATTTAATTTTTTTGAAATTGCATGTGCTTAAGGCACTGAATAATTGCCTCTATGTAAGCTGCCTTGAGTCCCCTTCGGGGTAGAGAAAAGGAGAGTATAAATAGAGTAAATAAATAAATAAATAAATAACTTCTGCTATTTTTTGTAGTATCAAGTGCTATGAGTGAGGGAACTGCTAAATGGATCTAATGGAAAGAGACCATTAAGAATTTGGATAGAAAAAATTGTTGCACTTCAGTCTTTCTGCTAAAAACAGCTGAATAGGTAGGAGGAAGGTAGGTACGGGGAAGAAAGACTAGTTTGAGGCAGGTATCTTTAAATTAAACTGGATGGTGTATGCTGTGTGTGTATACTGTCATGGAGAGAAACAGGTTGGCTGGGAGATTCTAGTTGTAATTAAAATGTTTTCTAAACTCTGTTCATACACATGGTAGGAAACAGATAAAAATAAACCCACATACTTGTCTGTGAATAAGCTCTTTTGCACTCAACATGGGGGTTTCCTTCTAAGTAAACAAGCTACATGGTGTGTATCTTCCTTGACAAGCTCAGGAAAATAAAAGGAGCAGTCCATTTATTTTCAAGGCTGTCTACTTTTTCAATCCCCCAAACTGCTAAAGCAGCTCTTGCCTATATGTGTGTCAAATATTAAGTAATCCCACAAGGGACAAAAAAATTATAAATGCAATCTGTTCCAAAAGGGAGCCAATTTAGAGCAAAAAAAAAAAGTAGCTTTAAAAAAAATGATCCAGAAGTGAGTGCTACAGGTATTACCACATTGCAGCAAAGACAAAGATCCATTTGGCACGTTAATGACCCCCAAATTTATTACAGCATAACGTTTTATGGAATCGAGTCTACTTATTCAGATTTTAATGGTTATAATATATGGGAGAACTGAAGACAGTGATGTCACAAGGAAAATAAATGAAAATTTCAATAAAATTTAAAAAATAGTAGTCACCACAGTTAATAATACCATGGGCATTCCAATTATTTTCTGCATTTCATTCTTCATGAGCTTATTGTTTATAATGGCATTTCTCACCCCACCCCCCAACTCCTCCTATATGTATACTCAAAGTAATACTTAGGACTGGGAACCAAACTGGAAATCATATTTTTTTCATTTCTTCATACACATGTAATTAAATTGATTTCAATTACTATTTTGAATGCATGTATTATAAAATAATTGGAGCATTATTGGCTGGTTGCTTATAGACTGCCTACAAAATCGAAAACAATATTTCAGGTGTTTTGAATCTGAAATTCTTAACCATAATTCTAAAGCTTTGTATGACCATGCTTTATAAAAATACAATCCTAAAACCATCTCTGGAGAAGAGGATGACCACATGAAATCTTTCTGACTAACATGCAAAGAATTGCCCATTTTAGGCCTCTTAAAGATACGTTATAAATTTTGGTTTGTTGAACCAAAGGAACTGTTTCTACATGATGTTTGTTAATCAAGTCAGGTTCAATTTATGGAAACTCTATGAACAAGAGACTTCTAAGACACTGTGTCATCAATAGCCATCCTCAAGGCTGAGGCTTTGGTGCCTAAGACCATATCTACATGGCCAAAATAGACTCTCTGCTTAACTTCTGCAAGGAGTTCAAATGACACACGGCTGGATTCATGGCAGAAGCACTGCATCTGTCATTAAAGTGGGTCAAGAGAACACAGGATTGATTCCGAAGCATCCACAAAGCTCTGGAGTATCCCAGGGTTTTGGAGATGTGGACAGATTGATCAGATCCACTGTCAATATCGTCAAGAGACCCGCTGCTGCATTTTTTGGCATCAAGTAGCTTCCTGGTGGTGATGTTGCTTCTGGTGAAATCACACGAGAATGCGCAGCCATATGACCCAGAAATGTGATGTCACCAGGAAGCCTCTGGCAGGGAGCTGCTTGTTGTCAGTAATGGCTGGCCATATGGATAGCCAAAAGGCTCCAGGGATGCTCCCTAGCTGCATCAGATCATCTCCAGAGTGACTTATTTGGGTAAGTGTAGATATAGTCTGAGTCTATTCACCTGCTTTTCTTGTAACATAATGTAAAATCAGATGTTAAAAAATTCCTGTTTCCAGATAGCCATATTATTTTTTCAGTGTGTATAAAGAACGATCTTTCACATTAAAAAGAGCCACAATGTTCATGCAAGCAATGTATGTATTCCATTTTTTTTTAAAAAAACCCAAACATTTCAGGATGTGTGAATACTGTGTGATAACTATACACAAAATTCTCACCACTGTGTTATTTTTCTTGGCTGGGCTTCCTGTGTGTGTTGGAAAACCCAAATGCTTTAGCCATGAATATTCTTTCAAATCCAAATATGATTTGCTTTGCATCCTGGCTCTGTTACTTCCTTTCTGTTGAGTCTATCTCTCATATCTATAATCTTATGCACACAATTTAGAGTAGGCTCTATCAATTGCCTTGGGAGACTTGCAACTGAGTAAATCTACACAGGATCTTGCAGTACAGATTATATTGCATTGGGGGGGGGGGGCAGCTGCTGAAAGGGACAAAGTCTGGTTGTATATTTTTCTAAGTTGACCAGAATAGTCTTAAGGAGAAAAATTTGAGAAATTTCCCCAGTTACTCTTCTTAAAGACAAAAGAAGGACAACACTTCAGATGAACACATGGCTTTAAGACTCGCTAAAAATAAGTGAAACACCAGGAATGTTAGAATATAGCATTTCATCATACAATATTATGGCTAAAATCCTGTTGGTGAGCTACACTAGAGGTTGCAATTTTCCAAGTGGTAATGTGAAAGAGAAATACATTCTGCCAGTGTAGTGCACCAACAGGATTCCAGCTCAAATGTCTTTCTTTCTACAATGAAAAACAAGGCTTGGCCAAACAAGACTAGCAGGCAGTCTGCCATGGAGTGAATGCGACAGCGCACAACCTCATATTGGCTTCAAAACTATTCTAAGAGAGACGTGATGGCTTCACATTTATACCCAATTAGCTTATGGCAAATGTGAAAAGGCAGCCATTCCTGAACATCTGCTGCAGGAAGCTATCTTGTTCTCCAGAGTCTTCTTAGCCACCGATTCAAGCTTGTGCATAAAGAGAGAGGAAGCCCACTGTGGATTTATGAAACCGTGATAAGAGGATGGACTGGGACAGACTACAGCTTGTGAGATAGGGCTAAAGACAGAAGAACTGTCCTGGGATATATGTGCACTTTCCACTGTGTTCTTAGTTCTGAATTAATCAAGGCGAGACACTCTACTTCCATACCTCTCAATGAACAGTATACAATATTCTCCAGATTAGCCTGTGCTTTAAAAAGATGGGTTGGGAAGGGTTAGTGGAATGCATTCTTTATTCTGTGTGTTTATACAAAATACTGCTTAATGAGTATTTTGCTGATAGGAAACATACAAGGGCTAAACTGCTCTGGGATTGGTGGTTATAAGCGTTTAAATTGATTCTGACTTATGGCAACACAATCCCAAGATTTTATTAGCAGGAATTGTGGGATTTTTTTGGGTTGGGGATGCTATTACTTTCAGGCCGAAAGAGTGTGACCTGCCCAAGGTCACCCAGTGGGCTTCCAAAATTGAGCAAGCTTCTGGCCTTTGTGTGCAGGAAGGATCTGGTCTAGGATCAGGGTCATCATACAAGGGCAAACCTTATCCTGCTTATGTATGTTTTTTTAAACTCCACCCCCAATGTGGGGGCTATGAAGAAGAAGAAGGAGAATGCTTAACTGGCATCAGTGGGGTAGCAGTGCTTCTGAAATAAAACCAGATTGGCGGGATGAGGTTCAAACCTCTTAGTCATGCATCATGGCCCTAATCTAGACCAGAGCAAGATGTATGAAAAGAAGAATCTTAAATGACAGCATAGATAGCTGCTGAGAGAATAGAGAAGTTTGGGATACCACAAAATGTGGAAAGGGTAGTGTTCTTCTTCAGCACAATAAAGGGACTAGCAAGAAAGAAAAGGCTGAACTCTGGATAATGTATACCTTACAGACAGAAATACTAACTAATAGTAAAAAAATCTTTTGGCCCAGATGTATTTTCATATCCTTAATACTAAAACTGGGAGAACTTTTGAAAAAAATGTGTTCCCAGTAGGAACCCGAAGTATCTATGATATAATTGAGAAAAGGAGTACAGTACTAGGTAACTGATTTTTAAAAGAAAAAAATGGAAAGATTATAATCAGTGACAACACACTGTGAGAAGGGAGAAAAATATATAGCTATTTCATTACAGTAGTTTGAAAAGCAGTAGGAGATCTCTCAGAACTGGAGGTTATTCTATTTTGATTTTCAGTGCCAGGACAACATGGCCCTTGTGTTGAGGAGGCGGGCTAAGGACCTAATCACATGTAGTGCTGGAATTGCCACAGATTGCGGTGAATCCGACAGTGACCGGGGACACCACCCAGCTTCCCTCTTACCTCATCCCATGGGGGAAGTGTCTGCTGCCCGGCTTTCCCCCATACACCCCAGTGTAAAATGGGAAGTCTCCCGTGTTGCCTCAGCAGAGGCATACACTGATTCCTCTTTAGTTATGCGACAGAGCCCCTCCAGAAATAGCTGAATGTCATGGGATGGGAGCCAATGTGTTCTGTCACAAAACTAATGAGGAACTGGTGTTGCCTCCAAAATTTACCCTGCCTGATATCAGCTTGATAATGATAGCAATTTGAAAGAAATACTGAAATTTAAAGGGGAAACCACCTGAATAAAAATTTGGTCCTTGTCTGCTTCCTGGTGTGTTTTTAATTTAAGGGCTTTGGGTGGGGGTTGGGAAGGGGGTGGGTGTCCTCCTCACTTCTCTGGGCTTTTGGAAGCCCAAAGAAGCAAGATGGGTATGGGGACTGACCACGGGGACTACCTGGAATCAGTCCTCAGAAGGCCCATACCCTATCAGACCAGGGTCTTTCAGGAACACCTGGGTCTAATTGGGTATCTAATCAATTCAGGCAAGGCAGGGTTTTCCTGCTTTGTCACAAATTAATCGTCTTTACTTGAGACCGAGTGTCTGCATTTTGGGCCCTATCTGGAAGGACCCTGAGACATCTGAGGTAACCTTGCCAAATTGCTCTCACTTTAGCTCCGTGCAATAAATCCTAATTCAAAACACACTTTTGAGAAGTCTACAGGTGAGCATGAGGGGGTGATCTTGGAGCATATTTCTTTTCTTTCTTACTCAAAGCATCAATCAAGTCATCTGAGTACAGGAGACTTTACTTCACATCTGTCTGTCTAGATATTCAAGACAGGAAAAAAATAGTGTATCGCCAACCTTTGGAAGTCACTATCACAACATCTTGAGCTTTTAAAGATAGTGTTAGAAAACAAGCCCAGCAGTGCCATCAAACCTTGGTGAGATTTGCCACCATTAAAGGCATATCCACACTGCACAATTATGTCTATTGTGATTTCCATGGCTCTGTGCTATGGAAATTTGGGGTTTGTAGTTTGTTGAGATAAATATAGTTTTCTATTAGACAACTTTGAGTGCACTTCCCTCAACCACAGTACTAAAATTATTTAGCACAGAATGTTAAGTACCTCAACACACTGTAGGATGGATCCCAGTGGCACAATGGGTTAAACCCATGTGCTGGAAGAACTGCTGACCGAAAGGTCGGTGGTTTGAATCTGGGGAGTGAGGTGAGCTCCCACCTGTCAGCTCCAGTTCTCATGCGGGGACATGAGAGAAGCCTCCCATAGGATGGTAAAACATCCAGGTGTCCCCTGAGCAATGTCCTTGCAGATAGCCAATTATCTCAGGTCACTCCTGACACGGAAAAGCGCTATAATTTGTCATATATTTAGAGGCATAACAAATTCTGAATACTCACTGCTGGCAAGGGCTTCCAGCTCCACCCAATAGTTTCTAAGCAGCAAAATGCCACCCATAGGAAGAAACAGGATGTTGGGACAAGATATGCCTTTATCCTGGTCTTGCAGGACTCCTATTGGGTTCTTATGACTAAGTGTTCCAGCCACGCAGCTGCCCAAACACCTTCACTTACCGATTTCCTCCCCTAGAGAAGAGTTCAGTATGGCACCGGCAGACATCACGACAGCACAGCTTCCAAACCCATCTGGATATAGTTTACTCAGAGAAATCTGGGGCACATGTTTTTCCCATCCAAGGATAGAGAAGGGGGCTTCTTTGCCATCAATGGTTCGGATGTTCACCCGTGCCTTGAGCTCACAGAAGAGCTGTTCAGAAGTCAGCTTGGAGTTTCGCTTCCCTCTAAACCGCACTCCGTGCTTATTGGTATTCAGGTAATCTTTCATTGCTTTCTGGAGGCGAGGATTCAGCATCTTGGAGGAGACGTCCCCTTTCCAAAGCCTGTACAGGAACGATTTTGACATTGTAGAATATATTCCATCCCACTCATCAGACTCTTCAAACATTTGGCTTCTTCTTTGTCTTGTGTGCCTTCTCTTTATCTTCCTTTGAGAGAGCCAATTATTCTGCAAAGCCTTTCTCGTCTGATCCTCCCCCTCTTCAGAGATTAATTTCACTATTTGCTGAACACTGCTCTGTGACTGAGGCTGACCAGCAGCAAATAAATAATCACTATCCCTTTGATAAAAAGCACTTTTTGATTTTCTACTTAATTGGGAAGGGAAAAATTCTTCCTCGCTTTCAAAGTCATCCTCTAAGTCAGTCCACTTTTTAATGTTCCCAGTTCCTGATTTAAATGAGTCTAAGACATCATCACTGAGCAGCACTTCATTCCCAACTGCTGTTTCGGAAAAGGATGGGTCATGTATGGCTCCCATGATAGCTCTCTGTTTGCCCTGAATAGGCAGAAGCCTTTTAGTCTCAATGTAAGAAAAAGAACTGGGAACTGCATCAGCAGTGTTACTATCTGTGAAATAGATGAAGATCACCAGGAATAGGAGGCCCCATGCAAATATTCCAAACAGCATTACTTGTTTCCATTGCTTCAGGTTAGGTTTCATGGCAATGTCTGTGCCAATCCCTCTGTACCTTAAAGGTCTGGTAAAGGAAAGTCAAACCTGGAAGGAGAAAAACAAATATATATGAAGCTCTCTATGTAGCACAGAAACATACAAAGCAGAAGAACTATAATGACAAATGCTACTATCCACTGCCCAGGGAGCTCTAGATGTAAGACAGGACTATACATGTTTTCATTAAAAACCCAATATATATTAAGTGTAAAGATCTGTGCAAAGATCTCTATTTCTAAGATGGGAACCTGGTAAAAAAAAAGGTTAAAAATTTGTTAGTGTGTTCTTACTGAGACCGATATTGAGCTCATTAACAGCTATTTTTTTACCTCACTTTCCCATTTCTAATCTATCTGAAGTACAGAACAAACCCCTGTATCCACAGTACTCGCACCTGTGGATTTACCTGTCCACATCTGACAAAATATGTAATATCTAGGAAGTTTCTAGATCCTCCAAGCCATGATGTGGTAATTTCTGTCAGAAGTCATTCATTTCAATAGAATTAATTGATTCCATGGTTTGTGCAGAAGCATGCCCCAAACACTGGGATTAATACTGTACAGTAAATCCTCCCCACACCTCCAAATAACACAAGTTATTTGTAGCATAACATTTTTCCACCACTGTCTTAGGTCCCATATACACTGCCATTATAATGCAGATTGAACTGGATTATACGCCAGTGTTGACTCGTATAATCCAGTTCAATGCAGTTCAGTATGCATTATACAGTTACTATATAATGAAGTTCATATAGCATATAGCAGTGTAGATGGGGCCTTAGAGGGATGCTTAAAAATACACTGAACGCATTGCTGAAAAGCCAAAATTCTAGATACATGCTAAGTATTAGCCAGGGTTTTTCGTAATACTGATGCCCTACATAAATCACAGTGTGGCAAAGTCACACATTTTTTAAGATTCCTAAGAACTAATCATATGATTCCAAGCTTGCATTAAAACAAAGAATATTATCTAGTGAAAATATTGTGCCTAAAGAGCTTTACTGTTCCTTTGATCCCATTCAAGAAGCTGACTGCAATCCCTGTGCAACAACCCCCATTATTTTGCAACAGGAGGCACTTTCAGTGTCTCTCAACTTTCCTCCTCTGTTTATTACAGGAGAGCTGAGTGGAGAAAAAGTCTTTATTCTTTTCAAACTTTCTTTTCTTCAGTACTTTGTATTGTTAAGGTCTCCACTGGTTTTTTAAGAAATATAAAGAAAAGGGGCAATGGGGTCAGGATGGTTCAAGTTGATGTTCTACGTTAGGCACTGTTATGTTAAATAGGCTCTTTTCTCCTCCTAAAAGAAGGGAAGGGGGTATATTGTAGCTTTTCAATTAGATGTTTGTACCAGGGTTAGGAGGAGTTGTGAATTTTGAGGGCAGACTTTCCCAGGGTGTTGGGGACTCAAACTTGATGGGAAAATGAGACTGCAATTTCACTGGAAAATGTTTTAGAGCTGTTAGCTGGCAAAAGAGGTTTTTTTTTTTTTTAAACCCTCTCCAGTACAAAGCAAGAGGGTATTTCTCTTCAAAGCAAGGATATACTTGCATACACAACTGTGCATTGCAGCTGCTCCATTGCTTTTTAATATTTTCCAATGTATAATTATAACAACCTCTTTGAAGTAGAGACAGCTTTTTTTCAGAACACAAGTGACTTCAGTAGAAAATGCAAACTACCTAATAACATAAAAAGAAGACAGGAGGAGAGAGAGAAAAGAAGTGTGACAGCATCTTTAATTTCTTAAAAAAAATTGCATGAGCTTTTATAGACACAAAACCACTTTTTAGGATGTAGTACCAAGTAGTATGAACAACTCCTATTTATACTATTGCGGGAATGGAATAAAATGTAATACAATCCAGAAAGTTGTAAATCTTGACCCACAGCACAAAGGATCATGACTAAAATGAATTAGTCTTAAAGGCGTTGCCACATCTCTTTTTTTCTTCTCAAATGAGGATTTAGTCTTCTCCAAACAGAGATAAAGGACCTAATCACTTGAGGAATTTTTAGCATCCTAAGATGCTTCTGCCCAAGTTGAGGTACGGATGGGTATGCAGCCCATCACATGATGTCCCTCAACTCCTGACAGAGGCCCCATTCCCAACTAGTATGGAAGCATCCCAGGATGCTTCCTCATCAATATGGGAAGACTCCAATGTTGTGTTGGCTCTACTTCTGCCCCAGTTGGGCAACGCTTCCCCTGTGTGATGGGGGAAGTGTCACCCCTACAATTTTGCCATGCTTGCTGGTGAAACAGCACAAAGGACATGTCGTAAATCCCTATTTACACTGACCATTTAATGCAGTTTGAAGCTAGTTTCGAACTGGGGCAGCCAGACAACAAATTCCCACCATACTGTGCAAAGGAGAGTCCTTAATGCACATCAATGCTCTGTGATTTGTGTGATTACATTCCTATGTAATAATCTGCACAACGAACCTCTTAAGTCGTCAGTGTAGTTGTGCCTTAAAACGGCTATTTTTAAAAAGCTACCTAATAACATATTTCAGATCTAAATATCCACCCTGTGTGCAATTTCTTTCCACAGAAAGCTGTGTTATACAATGAATGAATCATAAAATCCTAGAATCATAGAGTTGGAAGAGACAGCATGGGCCATCTAGTCCAACCCCCTGCCATGCTAGAAAAGCACATTTAAAGTACCCCCGATAGATGGCCATCTGGCCTCCGTTTAAAAGCCTCCAAAGAAGGAGCCTCCACTATACCCCGAGGCAGAGAGTTCCACTGCTGAACAGCTCTTACTGTCGGGAAGTTCTTTCTCATATTCAGGTGGAATCTCCTCACCTGTGATTTGAACCCATTGCTTTGAGCCCTAGTTTCCAGGGCAGCTGAAAATATCCCTGCTCCCTCCTCCTTATGAGATCTTTTCACATATTTAGACATGGCTATCATGTCTCCTCTTAAACTTCTCTTCTGCAGGCTCAACTTACCCAGCTCTTTAAGACACTCCTCATAGGGTGTGGTCTCCAGACCTTTGATCATTTTAGTTGCCCTTCTCTGGACACCTTCTAGCTTGTCTATATCCCTCTTAAATTGTGGTGCCCAGAATTGGACACATTATTCCCGGTGTGGTCTAACCAAAGCAGAACAAAGAGACACCATGACTTCCCTCGATCAAGACACCAAGCTCCTTCTGATGCAGCCCAAAAATCCCATGGGTTTTTTACTGCAGCATCACATTGTTTGCTTATGTTCAACTTGTTGTCCACGATGCCTGTTTTTCACAAGTACTATTTCCAAGCCAGGCGCCACCCATTCTATATGAATGAATGAATAAGTAAAATAAGCAGCCATAACTCTATGTCTTTTGTGAAGATCTCTGCACAAGATACTGGCTATTGCTTAACTAATTTTGTGTAACACAAAATCTTTGCTCCCAAAAAACAGATAATGCGAGTTGGGTTATGAAAATACAACTAGCTCCCAAAAGTGAACACAAGCTGTCTTGATGGAATTATTTCTAGATATCTACCCAAAGCTGGATGGATCTAGATAAAGCAGTAACCAGAAAGAAAATCTCTAAAGTGGGAAGACCCAGGGCCCTTCCACACTGCCCCTGTATCCCAGGATCTGATCCCAGGTTTTCTGTTTATCCCAGGTTATCTGGCAGTGGGGACACATATATTCTAATTTAAAGCAGATAATCTGGGATCAAATCATGGCATATAAGACATTGTGGAAGAACTGGAAGGGACAGAAGGAGGTGTCGACTGTAGCGCATGCATCTTGCCCCCCCCCCTTTTCTGGTGTTGCTCTTGTAATGTCACCACGGTTAATAATGTCTGCTGGGTGGAAGTACAGATGATTTTAATTTTCTTCACTATAAAAAAAACCCTTGTCCTCTCTCACATTACAAGCCATGTAGCTGTTCATATGCAGTAGAAATGTTAACAGCAGTCTTAATAAGCACTCTGTGGTTGGAAGAAATGAAACGCAAGTGAATTGGCACAGTGGGACTATTAACTGGGAGGACAAGCAAGAAACTGTTATCCATTTCCAACTCAACCTGATCTCCTATGGAACTGATTTCTCTCTGTCCACATCACTGACTTTGGAACAATAGATACACTGAAAAACTACAATTCAAAGCAGCATGTTTTTCTGCTCTGACATCATGTGTAACTGTGCATGACTGCAGGCATATTCTATGGCATATTAGAGCCAGAAAGCACTGCTGGGAAAAGGAGTTGCAGGTAATGAAAGAGCCATTGAGTGTCAGAAATGGCCTATGCCAGTATTTTTATGAACTGTATTAATCACATCTGCCCAAATAGGTACATATAGCTTGGGATGGACCTTGGGTCTGACTACAAACATTATACTTAAAAAGTAGATTGGAAGAATGTTTAAACATTTTGACAGGAGAAATAAATCTGAAGCCCCAGAAAACCACATCCACCTCTGTGATTGCCTACAAGATACAGCCATTAGAAATGAAACCTTATGTTGTTGATTTTAAAGAACTTCACACTCCATATGAAATAACTCAGATATGGTCCTGGCAAGGTAGGAATAAAGGTTTCTTTTCTCTATGTCTTGAATATTTGCTGTTTCTGAATCACTTTGCACTAACACAACAAGTGCGGAATTGAGACCAAGTTAAATTGCTTTCTTGAAAATTAAGACAGCTAAGCTTGTAGACATGAGAACACAGAAATCATTGTCCACAAAGCGTTTCACTATCAACTAGAAGAGTTCAATAATAATTTTAACAAGAATAAAATGTTAACAGCCTTCCAAACAGAAAATAAAAATTTATGGAGTCACAGTGTAAAAATGCCTGTTGTTGTTGCTGTTGCTATGTGCCTTCAAATCATTTTTGATCTATGGCAAACCTACCACAGGATTTTCTTGGCAAGATTTGTTTGGGTTGGGTTGGTTCGTCTTCCTTTGGAGCTGAGAGAATGTGACTTGCCCAAAAGCACGTTGAGTGGAGATTTAAACTCTGGTTTCCATAGCCAAATGCTCAAACTACTATACCACTTTTTCTCTTTTAAAAATCTATAAA